GATATACGTAAAAAGAATTATCATGTGTTATGTGCGTACATTTGTCGCGAGCCAGTGATTTTATTAAAACGATCGATGCTCCCATCGCCTTATACCATCTCGGCGAAACAAACAACATCGTTATGCATACTATTCACATAATACCAACGATGGTAGATCAATAGAAAATTCCGAATCATTGAAATGTTTCCTATCTATTGATTATTACAGTACACGTGTCTATTGGCTTTGATGCGCAATGGAATCATAAATTAATCATTCCATAACGTTTTACATCTTAGAACTTTAAGAAAATATTTATGTAAACACTCGTTATTATCCGTTGGAAGTTGTTACAACAAAGGACTGACCTCATGTCCCGTCCCATTTTATTTCATTACAATGAATAAATTCCTCAAATTTTTGCTCGCGAGTTGTGGGTAAGTGGGGCAATAATAAAGAAATTTGCCGAATTACCCGGCCGGGGGCTGGAACTAATTAAAATTGATACGAGACTTTGGAGTATTTTCAGGGCTATCGCAATCGACGGAAGTATCTCTGCATGTAGCGTGGGCGGCGACGGTAACAAGCGGATATTAAATTCAGTTTAGTTCGGGAACCCGTTAAATCACATTCACCGCTAACAAAGCTTTGTGAGGACTGAGCATGTAAAATGTTAATAAGAACCTAGTGAGGCAGGCTGCTTCGATATGAAGATATCGGATATATGGAGATAAGATAGGCACTATTATGAAAAATGTCATCAACATTAATTGCAGTACCTATGGTTATAGTCATAGGTATCATTAAAAGTAATGATAAAATTCAGTAATGTATGAATAAGGAACAAAAGACCGAAAAAAATAATCGATTTTCCAATTACTTAGATACTTTTGATAGAATCTAAGAAACATAAAGAAAATCCTAGTACGCACATACGTAATCTAAAAACCCGTTACATAGGTTAATAGGATTTCCCTCAACTCCATCGATTAACTACAGATCAGATCAACAGCTTATAAAAACATGTACTGCCGGTATTCTTCCTATATACGCATTAAACCTCTTTTTAGCTTCCCTATTTTCGTCCGTTCTATTTTCAGGAGCAGTCGTTTAAATTACAATGAGAATTCCATGAAAGAGATACACATACATTAGATATCGCTGGATGAAATAAAAAAGTTGCTTTTATCATTTTTAGTACATTTCGGCAATTTGACAATACGTAAATTATTCTTTCTGTTATTTCTTCTATTTCTACGAGATCAGGGTGACAATATGATAAGAAGGCCCTTTAATTCAGGGACCAGCAAACACATTTATAACTAATATTTATTCTTAATATATAATCGCAACTGAAATATGTGTTAGTGCACCAGACATCCTGTACAATGTAAGTACGTCTAACTCTTATCGCATATAGAACATGCAGTTTGTTCCATTTCAGTATCTAAAAACATCGGACGTTATAATGAGTGGGCGTTTCTCTGCACAATATCAAATGATCTCATGCAATACAGCTACATTTAATACAATAATAATCATCATGTCATTTTTTCATTTATTCGAGATTCAACTCTGAAAATTTGCAGTGTGATATTGCTTCATTTCATCATAATCATATCATAATCAGCCTGATTACGTTCACTGCTGGACATGGGCCTCTACAATTGCACGCCACTGTCATCGCTACATGTAAAATACAAAAATTCAGCCAAATCTGGGTAAAACTCTGTGACAACACCAACCAAGTTAAGAACAAGATCTCATAAGATTTAAAACACAGCTTTTTGAAAAGGGAAAACCATCACAACAAGACTTTGCTCATCCTGGGAGAGGGACTCTCAGACTCTTGCGGACTAAAAACGCCCCCGTTGTTTCTCCTGCTCCCGCTGTGATTTACCGAAGTTGAAGACCATCTTTTGATTAATTCAGCAGTAGATGAGTCAATATGTAGATGAAAGTCATTCGGGATGGCTGGGACATGAGATCGGAACAATAGCCTTGTATGACCGTAAAACACAACAATACGTTTGTTTATAACACTGATGTTGATCATCAAATTCTGGAAATTTTATTTGTAGCATCTTTGTCTGAGCTTTTGATTTATTCTGGTTTTATTATCACTCTACGATGTTCGACAACAAAATAAACTTAACAGTTTTGTAGTGGATATTAAAACGACGCAAAGTTTGATTATAAGAAAGGTATCTAAAACCTATACCACAATTAAATGCCAATCTGTTGGTAGGATGGATATTTGTTAAAATCAAAATATCTGGGGGTTTCAGGATAATTTTATCTCAAGCGAACAGATGGCACATCCAAAACGCGTATAGGACTAACAATTTGGTATAAGACAACCTCGATTTTGTATAAAGGTAGGTTATGGCCTGAATAAGACACAGTTTTTTATTCCACTGCTGGTAGTGACCACTTATTTATGATAACAAAGTATATCCACAGTATAAATATCATACAGTATTGTAACTCGGCCGCTTGAAAGAAATAAATACCTACAGCCGCGCGGTACGTAAACATGCGTTAGGGCTGCTCTTCTCCAGTATTTTAATTACCTTTGTCTACTTTCTGTTTCCATTTAGTTTTGTGATTGTAAATATCCTTTTTTTATATAAACAAATAAAGTGCTTTAAAAATAAACAAACAAAATTTCTTTGGCCACTAATGCCGAACTGAACAGCTGACTACGAATGTTCTAAAATCACAACCCTCAAACATCAAAATATTACATGAGTCTAGCTGTTTTATTGTTGTTATTAAATATTTTCTAGTATTATTCATAAACGTAGATAATAAACAAATATTATTAATAATAAAATACCACACTCTCTACTTTGAATTATACAAACTAACAAAACATACATGAACCGTTTTAACACAAGCGTAAGTAGGTAGGTACCTAACGTATCATGATTCATTCAGAACCAGAACCGCCTATAACTACCTATTTCACTCGTCTCAATAACTTTATTCATATTATTTATAAATTCAAACATCTGTTTTCGTAAGATAACTGGAAATAATGATCCATAAAGACACACATTATGTACCTACCTAGGCTACTAGTAAGTAAAATTATTTTATAGTCTTACCTTTCAGAGTTTCCAGGTAATTTAAAAAAACTTATGTCTGGATGCGTTATTGACGAATTCATGCAACCAAACATAATAACAGCACAATATTTCCTATTCGTCATATTAAATAATGTACTCGAGCTGATTTCTAAATAAAAGACAACACACCGTCCGTTCGTCACTGCGGTACAGCCGCGTCTGTCTGCGTCCCGAGCGCGTCCCGACATCGGGCGCGTAGGTATAGTTCGCGTTTCGGCCGTTTCTATGAAGTTGAAATACTTGTAGATATTGGTATATCTTAAGACAATTTGTAAAAGAGGTTTTAACTAAAATAGGAACAAAGAAAAAGTAGCAACTGACATTATCATTTAACGATATTTACCTACGTGATTTCCTTTTCCCTATACAAGAATCCTTCATATAGTAATAGCAGATCGACAGCGACATTTTGAACCACCGTTATCTTTATTGGAACACGTAGACATACAGTTGACAATGTAGAAAATGATTGTTTACCGTTCGTTGTGTGCTTACGTGCACAAGTATCTACTAGCTACGGTTTTCCAGGTTTGATAGGCTGGAGTACCCTGACAGTTTAAAAACATTATAAAGAAACGAATTGAGCTGTTTTTCTGAAAAAAAAAATAAAACATTTTGACTAGTTTATTTTATTTATGTACCAATACTCAACGAATACTATTTTCTCATCTTTTAAACCTTCTCAGGACTATTCTATAGCAAATGTTTCAAGATCAAAATGAACCAAATCTGTAAAGCCATTCTCAAGTTTTAGCGAGACTAACGAACAGAAATAGATATTTTTTAATAATATTTCGAAACTTGATTGATTTGATCGTCAAAATTAAATAAATTATTCAATACTCCCCGCAATCAATCCTAATTTCCGAAACCCTTATCCCGGAAAGGCCGGCAACGCACTCATAACTACTTTGGCACTGTGTCTTGCCATCTTGCTTGCTTTGGTCTGCTGGTTTGCCGACCCAAGTACCTCATAAAAAAATACTCTAGTAATTTTTTCAGAAGTACGTGTATTATTTGACGTAATGCATTACACATTAATTATTATGTTTTCGGCTTCATCACCATCATCAGCCGAAAGACGTCCACTGCTGGATAAAGGCCTCCCCCTTAGCTCTCACGTCCAACGACAAGTTGCCACCTGCATCCATTGGCTCCCCGCGACTCTGACGATGTCGTCGGTCCACCTAGCGGGAGGCCTGGCCACACTACGTTTTCCGGTCCTTGGTCGCCACTCTAGGACTTTTCGGGCCCATGGACCGTCCGTCTTTCGAGGGACGTGGCCTGCCCATTGCCACTTTTACTTGTTTTCGGTTTACTCACGTAATAATTAGCCGAGATACTCGACTAGTTAGTAGTAGTACATTACATATGTAGCAATTTTATACACAATTCATAGTACCGTTTTTGATTGTATAAAAGCATTGAATATGACTAGTTGAAAACCGAACCGTATTTATTGTCTTATTGGTATTGAGAGCAATAAAAATTTTCTGAGAGTTTTTACTCACAACGAAGAATTGCACGCAGCTTGACTACCAGTATACGGTTAATAGAAACATTAATCTCTAGGTTTCAGAGAAGCCAGCAATTTTATGTTACGTAAATAACTATTTTCGGTTTTTCCCTATTCATCGTAACTTTCCAAATAGCAATTTCTCGGAAAATACTGTGATTTCAAAAATGTTAATTAGAAGTTAATACTAGATGGTAGAAAACTGTCCCACTTGTATAATTCTAGTAGTCCATCTATAACACGGAGCGGCCATAACCACTCACCAAAGCAAATTCGGCACATAACTAAACTTCTAGAACGTAATCCGTCACACAATAACGTCGAAATGGCGACAAAGTCATAAACAAATACAAATGTAATAAAATACTTACCCCAGTACTGACTAGAGAGAGCATAATCCTCTCGTTGAGGGCGAGAGTCTCCCCTTGCTTCATTTTTATACGCTTCTTGTCGAGGCATTTCATCGCGTACATTTTACCCGTATCCGCCTTCCGACACCCGTACACCTGTACACAAGATACATGTAAATAAGGTATTTATCTGTACGCGCCGTGAACATAACGTGCCGTTGCCAAATTGTACCTACGTGTAGATACTCCTAAAAGGTTGTACTCGGGATGTCTGGCCGTTACATCATAGGATTGTGATATCATCGTGCAACGTTAACTCTGTTTAAGCGCTGGGAAACCTAATTGAGTTAAAAACAATGACGGCACGGGCCTTCTGCTTTTGGATAATTGTCGGAACAGAAGCTTTTCGTCAGCATTTAGCATTGGAAATACCTAAATTATTTATAGCAACATAATCTGCTCTACATAACGTAACTACAGAGTATCGAACACGTACAATTAAAACTATGAATAAAGATCTAATAAACTGCCTTAGTATCGATCAAACTACGACATATTTCTACTTCGTCAAGGACTACAATCGTGACTATAATGACGGGAATAACTCAAAATTACGAACATGTTCAATGCAAAAACGTATAGGAAGTCGCGTGTGAACTGATTTATGAGACGCACTCCACGTCACTTCGTGACATAAGTGCTGGAATTGATTCGTACAACATACGAAGACGTGTCCACTTTATTTAAAAATTATATCCGAAGCGTAAGTTCGCGCGTGAGTACACTGTAAGAAAGAATTGAATGTAACGTTTAGCATTTCTTTCTTTGAAATATAAATATTACAATAACGCTGAAGCGTAAAAATGACCTAACATCGATCAGATACGTGTCGGTTTTCAATATATTTACATAAACTATTTTATTTATGTTAATATCCGCGTTGAGAATGGTTTTTGTGAACGTTTTACATAACAATATCATGACATATCCGGGTGTTTAGACGATATGCTTCAACGAATACGTCTTTCGAAATGTAGGTACTTGTGTATCTTCTTACAAAGGGTTAACATTCAGTGGCTCTTACAAGAGATTTCTTGTCTTGAGCAAAATTCTTTTACATTATAATTTCCCTTAAACGTAACATATTTGAGTGATCACGTTGTACTAAGTGTAATATTAAAATACAGGCGTTAAAATCCATCACTATTCCAGTGGGGAACAGGACGGCTTTATTACACCTACGTACGTAGCGGCTTTACGTTCGTCGAGATGAATATGAATATAGTAAACACGTTCACGGTGCAAGCCCAGAATGCTAATGATATTAGGTTTGGGACTCGCAATGAGACTTGCGTAACTAACTTTGTACCCTAAGAGCATATGTTTAGGAATATTTTTTACTGTAGCACTTACCTCTCCGAACCCGCCCCGGCCGATGATGCGATGTACGCTGAAGTCGTTCATTGTGAGCTGAATGTTTAATTCTAAGTTTTTCCATTGACAAAACCTCGTGTATTTGTCACTGCAACAAACAAATTCATTATTGATTCTGTACATAATAGTCAATTTGAAATAAATATAAAACAATAGTTACCTTTCTAAGAAATTTTTAAACGGTTCCCCTCGTAGATGTTGGAATATTTCCTCAATGTAGGGCTAAAAACATATTACATTAATTTCATATCAAAATTGAATCAAAGTAAGTTACTCAAAGTTACAAGAAACATACCTCAAATAGGTTCGGTGGTACTTCGTGCTTCATTAAATATTTTTGTACATGCGCTACACACTCTTTAGAATAATCCTGAAATAATACGCATATGATTTACAAGTGAAATAAACAAATACGGGTATCGAGGTTAGATAAAAATAAATTATGTTACTGGGAATGTGTACACATCACGCACGCTATAGAATAATGTTCAAGCGTTCCTACTAAGTGTATAAATTAATGTTATTAATAATACTGGAAGGGAGGTTTTTACTGTTATGCTTAGAAACCGTTTTATGCGTTTTACTTAAACTATTGTTGTAATATAAAGCTTTCAACCGTGGTAATTCGAACTAAAATAGAAGAACAATGGAACACGAACGCCGGCGTTCGCTCAGGTTTGATGAATTAGAACAAACATATTAATATATCATCAATATTTTCTGTGGCTCTAAGTAGGTAAAGCGAGAAAGAGTGTTTCTGTTACTGACTAGAAACCATCCCATTTTTTGTCCTGTTTAGAACCTAGTCACGGGATATCATTGCAGCCGCAACCCTGGCCTGGCATCGGCCCTAGTATGTCCCATCTGGGATGGTCAGATGTGTGTATGAAGCGCGCACACATAAGTAGTTAATTTTGTATCGAATCCTATAATAGTTTGTTATCATGCCACATTTTACTACAGCTATCACACAAAACATCGATTCGTAATTACACTGCTACGACTGAATTTACTCTAAAAATATCAGATCTACATAGTATAACCAAATCTAACCCAATATAACGGAATCGATCAGTAAAACTTTCAGGGTCTACACAGTAATAAAACGATGCATGTCCTTTACGAATAAAATTTTGATATGAGAAATCCACTTGAGTATGGTATATCTAATGGAGATAATTTCAAACTTCTCTAACAAGTAGATTTCCTGGAACGTCGTTAAATCTGATATATCGGTGTGGCCAGCAGGTTTTCCTGCATTTATTAATAATGCTATAATAACGAAGCTATAAAAACCACCGCATTTGAAGCAATTCAGACAGTTTCTCAAGTAGTCTGATTAGAAATCAATAGAGACGACACTGCTCATAAAACGTTATTTGTTTTTATCAGCACCCGCTGAGAATGTGATCTCTAATCTAGCCACACAGCTACTACTTTAGCTTTCTTTCCATAGACACGAGTAATGTTCTCAATATTTATTGGCTCAAGATATGAACGATATAATTATCGTTGATCAGACAGAATTTACCGACTAAACCACGGTTCATCCACCGATAAGCCCCGGATTTAGACTGAGAGGGTCATGACACAGACGATTTTGAGTAGTAGGATTGAAAGGTTACATTTCAAATAATGCGCGTCCAACGTTAAGCTATTTATCAGAGGTTTACGCGCTTGGGCAGTACGCCAACAGTCACTAACGAGGCTCATTATACAAACAACAGTCGTTCTAACCGGATACAATGCTAACAACCTCTTATTTCGCGATTTCTATACAAACTCCATCAAGATCTTGAATCGCAACTTTATTTACAAAATGATAGACTCGTTTAAATTCAAACAGCATTTTATACGGAAGGAAACATCGTTCAACTTAACATTGACTGTTGTTTTATTACATTTGCACCGACCACTTGCATAGTTTCATCAAAAACTTTGACCACAAAAAGCGAAAACAAAGCGATGCCGGGAAACATCACCGCCATATGCCACGATATTTGGTAACAGGGCGGTCCAATAACAAAGGCACTGTCGGCGTGATCTATACAGGAGAACCCCACAGAATATACAGAGATGTTAGATTAGAAACTATTTGAAAACGAAAACCGCAAGCACAGCGCTATGTGGACCACGTAGATCGTATCACTTTGTACTCACTCATTTCATTGGGTTAAAAGCTTTTACATAATTGAAATACGTATAACTATCATACTACTCATGTGTAAATCAAACCATTCTGGATAGTTGTAAGACTTTTATAGGTCATATCGTTTTATTAAAGGAAAGTAGATAGAAGTCATTAAGAGAGAAAAATGTATATTTGCACATGTTTTTGCATTTTTCTGGTAGTTAGATAGATTTGACTGGATTTAATACTTAGTGCAACTGAGACTATTTGTTTTAAGCTTTGGAATAAGTCCACGTAACGATAGTTTTGCAAGTGAAGCTGAGTGCAAATCTCCTAAAACAACGGAGATAATCCCAAGAATTAAAATCGAACAGACAGCGGGCGAGGGCCGTGGGTGAAGCGCAGAAGTGTTCTGCTACTTAAACTTTCCCTTCTTGTAAAATATACGAAGTTTATGAACTGCATGAAGTATTTGCACTTCATCCGTTTCTTCATCTTCATACGTTTCATTTGAAGTGGAATATGTATGCACAAAACGCGATTTTCGTTTTCGCCTTAATTCGTAACAAGGCAGTAAGGATGCTGACGTGCTGCGCATAGTAAAAAGGACACAAGGCTGCAGCAGCTTATCTCATGATGACGTGCTTTGTGGCAGAAATGCTGTTTGTATTGGCTAGCTAGTTCAATGGCGATTCTTAGTCTAATAAAGCAAAGATGTCACGTAGTCAAAACTATATGAATATAAAGTCTTCACATAGACTAAACATGAGCATAATTTCCATTTACTTACATGTGAATGTGCTAGAAGTTCTTTCATAATAAAATTGTCATATATATCTCTGGCGATCCGCCGCCTTTCTTCAACACATTCTTGTTTTTCATATAATTTAATCTGCAAATAAATTAAGCATGATAATACCAATTTTATTTCAAAAAGTAATTATTGAATACATTCGCACATGCCGTCATATTTACCTCTTCATAAAATCTTAATTGTGGCACTTGGTCATCAGTAGTCTGTTCACAAAATTCCTTAAATAATAAATAACCTGAAACAAAAAAATAAAGTTACAAATTGTGTTTTTATTTACGTTCAACCACACGAAGGTTGTTCGCGAGTATTTTTAACACGTGTATGTAAATTAATAGGTATGATGTCAATTGATTGTGTGGCATCTGCTAATTCAGTCATAAGTGGTGTGCGTAACATGTAATAATCGTATTGTACGACAGCACTCCACGTTTTGCGTCAAAATGGCATGACACAAATTGATAATGATCACTGGGAAATAAAACATGATTCAGTTCGGACACGAGGTAACCTAAGAACACGACTAGATTGCGTAACGCTTTACCAATACAGATCTTCACATTATGTAATTTTTGTAGGTACTACTGCTAACTTGAATCCTGTGTTACTTTATACATTCCTGAGTCGCACTAGTTTTATTTTATGCTCTTAGAGATCTTTAAATAGTATTTATAGTTTATCTAGGAAAGCGCAGTATACTCGAACTAACAATCGTTTTTCAGGGCTCTACGTACTTATTAAGAAATTTCAAATAAACAGCAGAGAAGACAATTATATTAGTACACTAAGTTGGCAAAACAAGCCAAGAACGTCTACAACATAGCCCTACAGTGTCCAGTCCAGAGAAGCCGATAAAGTTATTTACTGCAAGTCGAAGTGGGGCCACCGTAAATTGCGTTTGTAACTTGTTCCCGGGAGCCTCGCTGCAATATCGCCCTCTCAACCGACTATCAAGACGATCATTGAAATTACTGCAATTTCTAGAAAAGTTCGCCCTCGGACAAGTGGGCTTAATGAAAAATAAATTGGTGTGATTATTTCCGCTTAGATTAAACGAATTGCCTCGTCGGTTCTTTGCGAGGGAGGACTAGCTACTACAAAAGGTAAAGACGATTTAGATATTTTACATTTCATCTGCGATTTTGACTGGAGACGATCTTATGATTATAAATAGCTCACTTAGCTTATAAAAAGCTGATCAAAGACATCTATCACATCATGATATCATACTGCCTGTAAAAAATCCTTAAATAAATTACCATTGATTTATTTAACTAAAACGCGTAACGACAACTGTTTGTGTTGATACTTTTGAGACTCGATAAATCGCATCCTATTTACGGGGGCGGGTTTCATTGACGCCCTAAAAAACGGATCTGGTCAATAAACATAGCATACGAACATTAGGTAGGAGTTACCTAAATAGAAACACAATGAGGGGTCCCTATTCCCTCGATTCAAATGTGTAGCGCTCGAATTTAAAATACTCAATACCGATAACTTCTAGTTCAACAAACACACTGGATGTCTGCAACAGCGCTCAACTTAAAAGTGGTATTTATATAACATTTTAAAAACTTTATTTCCTATTATTTTATGTCTTGTTTTTCTTTTAACTTATATTTCTAGTTCCGAGTTTAAAGTTCATGTAGTCCAGTGTTATATGTAAGATGTTTCATTTGTTTTTCGCTATAGCTACTCGTATTATCAAATTAAGATACTTCTAACTCTAAAGCTGTATATTTAAGATTAGGACTCAAAAAATGGATGTGAACCTTATTTCCTAAAAGTAAATTAAGAGCAGAACCGCTCATGTCCGCTAGCTATCGACTTCTAAAGCTTTCAGAAATGCCTCTCAATGGTATTGTCTTTTGATCCGCCGTGGGTCACTGATATAGAGGCCAGATAAGGATCCTCTACTTTATCCCGTGCTCTATCTCCGTAAACGTAACCCCTAATCACCCAGGCTTAAGAAACTCATAAAAAGACGAATCTGTTTGTCCTACATACAAGTTGTTGACACGGGTGTCACAATACAATACGCTAACTAAACATAGAAAGATTTAGCTGATCGAACACCTTTATCCATTTAATTCATACTTAGTGGAGCATAAATGGCAGATTCATATGGCTAGGGGTAGTTTACCTATGCGTTTATGTGTCAATAGCTAGCGATTACGGAAGATATAGTTTCAATCGACGTGGACCTGTTCTAACGAGCTTACAGAGCAATCTACTCTTTGGTACCTATAATAATTTGTAGCGGCAATATCGGGACTGAAATTTGTGGTCTGCAATATTCTAGTAAACAGAATGCCTACTACGTAAACAAACGATTAATATACATACACACAATTAACACGGTACCAACTAGCGTTTTAATCAAATACTCAAGCGCTGATTCACGCGAACGTTATGTTAATGTTGGAAACATTGGTAACTTTTTATATTTTTCTTTACAATTCTTTAAAGAAAAATAAAACGGAAATTAAGTAAAGCCTTACTGGTTCATTAATTCAAAAATAGAGTTCTGCTCACTTAATTACTAATAAACAACAATATAGGTTTACCATAATGAATAGTTTAATATACAAACTCATTAGGGAAATTGCTTCCATAATCAACTGCAAGGTAGACCTAACAGTTACTTAAATGCAATACCTACTTACTAGCAAATGCCTAGACTTGTACTCGTGTGCCATAAACCTACATGTTCTCTCAAGAGAAATCTTCAATATCGACGTAGGTAGACAGTATCCCGCCCCAGCGGGCCAAGTACAGCTGCAGTGCAATCTGTATCTAATAGATTGACACTTGTGTCAACACCAGACCTCGCTTTCATTTGGCTTCAAATACAGAATTTAAGATGTATGAAGTATTTCTAATCAAATACTAGGTACTCTACACCAGTTTGCTTGAATGTTATCAAGTGGCAAGATATGTTTGTTCTACTTTGAACTAAGATCAGAGAATAAGACAAAGAAAGCCGTCTGATAAACCAAGTCTAGTTCTAGGACTAAGAAAATCATCCTTAGCAACATGAGCGAGACAACTTCATTACAGGGAAAGCAATTGTACGCAGAGCGGCAATAATCCAGCTTGCGTATCTGTGTGCGGAACCAACGACGCGGCCTACTCGGCTCGCTTACGTTTAATCTTGTTTACGATATAAATCCCACAAACCGCAAGAAAGTTGTTACGAAAGTGAATTTGAATTAAACTTGTTTGGAATACTTAAATAATAGGCGTACAACGGGTGTTCGCGTGTATTATATACCAGTTAAAACTGACGCCATTAACAAATGCTTTGCATGCACATTGCACTATTTTTATCTTCGTTGTAGACACAGAGGAGTGTGAGAAACCTTTGTTTACAGAAAACATACATTATGGTGCAGAGAGCACAAAGCATGGGTGAAACCTATAAATAACAATAAATTTCAGTTCTAAAACGTTAAAAACAGATTCCAGTCTTATTTTAAACTTGTATTTTAACCGAGAAATATTCGGAGAGAAAACCATTTTGTTATTTGTAGTCAGAATAACACAAAACAAACATCAAAGAAGAATAATAGCAAACATGGACGTGTGATCAGACGACATGAGTGCTCGTTCAATCTACGAAGCAATTGTAAAAGCGCAGACGTAAATCGCCCGAAAAGAAACGGCTCAAAGGGCCCTCGTGTTTACACAACACTGTTTCTTTTAGCGTCGACCAACCAATAATGATGTCTCTAATCTAAGCCGAGATGGCGAGGAACTTGGAAACGTGAAAGATTAAACAACACAGAAGAATACTATTTATTCTGTTCGATAAAATCCTAATGAAATCGTTTATCATACATAAAGCTCTAAAGTAATTCCAATCTATGCTGCAATAACAACTTAAAATATTTTAAGCTGTTAAGTGTTCCGCATATGTAGTTCCCAAAGACAATAAAATAGTTTGTGTAATAGACAGTAACTTAACAAATTACATTCATTTAACTAGACAGTATGTATGTATATTGAAAGTGTTTCGTATGTAGTGATTTGTACGACATGCCAATTACCGGTCACAAATCGAAATAGAATCCAAAATGGCACGAAGGGTAATTATAAATACTCCTTTTATGATCTTCGAAGGCGGATACGGTTGATCAAAACATAATGGACGCGATCATATAGTCGTAGAGTTATGTTCTCCGTTTTATACAGTCACAAAGACCGTGCATTATTTTTACGAATGCTCGTAATTTCTGTTGTAATTGCCCGATTTATTTCTCTTGCCCCATTGGAAAACTTTTTACTGTTTCATCTACAAATTATTTACCTCCGACTACACTATAAATTTTTACTGTACGTTACCGATTTAAGTACCCATTAATTTTATAAAGTTAGGAAGTGATGAAATTGGCACATTCTCGACATTTATCTTTCCTCTAACGTGGACTAATATATTTCATTCGGAATGCATAGAGCATTCAACAAATACTTTGTTAAATGAGTTATTTCAGATATGATTTCTTTAAAATGTGTTATAACAAATAGTATTCATATATTATAAGCCCACTTACCTAAGACTTGATTGAATATTTTGTCGAAATTTACTTCATTCTTCTTTTCCATGTATTTATGCATTACACTCCGAACGCTGAAACAAAGAGAAGGTGGTTATTAAATTGTACTTCTTGGGTCTACACAAATCAAAACAAAAGTACATGAAATACTAGATTGATTTGACCCTGCTATCTCTGCTATACCAATTTTAGTCGGAAGATTAAAAGATATATAAATAACATGTGGGTAGTAAAATCTAACAAAAAGATACAAATACATCAATAAAAAATAAATAAGATGCGGGAGCCGCGACTTAAATAAAATGCTAGTTTATCGTTTTGTTTACCGTATAGCGACCACCATATTTTTTTGTGAACAGGAGACGTGCCTTTGAACTTTTTACGACTTCGTCTGTAACATGGTGAACTTAACATTATTCAGTTTGTATCTTGCAGCGACATTGTCAATTTGAGTAACTAGTCTCCCTTTTAGCAAGCGAAAAAGCTGCTAAATTATGCAAACGTATTTTGTCTCCATTTCCCTGGTAATCAGAATTTGACGCTACCCTTTCACAGGATAGTATGACGTTCGTGAATATTCAGATCTTTGTTGAGGGTCGTCGCATGGCGCGTTTTGTTTTTATACCGAGCTGCATAGTAGAGAAGTAATTAAATGAGAGCAGAGCTGACGACGACAATAATTATATGGCGACATTGCAATTTGCTCAACAATGTACTATTTATTCGCTATGTATAACATACAAGAATAACTAGGGTCAATAAGTGACGGTTGCGTTTAATTTAGAAAATTCGCGTGCGTGTACGGCTCGTAATTATACTTTTTAATGCAACCAACAAAAAGCTTGATATACACGAAACCCTGGCTGGACGTTATGCACTTATTCCTATTTCAAGTTTACCCACGAATTGAGTCTGATTTAAAAATAGATTATTGCTATTTTAATTTATTTTAAAAATAGATTATTACCAATAATACGTGTCATACTTTAATTTATTATGAGGACTACGAAGAGTTACTCACTGAATACTTTATCGAAAAGACTCAATCTCAAATTTGGACTTATCTTATACTATTTGTAACATTTTTAAGGATTATAGTCCCTAAATTGTTTTTAGCGAGTACTTTCGTATTATGAATAATACATGTCCCTAAAAATATCAATAGTTGAAATATATATTACGATTATATGTAAACAAACGAGTTATCGGCACGCTACGCAAATAGAGCGTCACAGGCAGTTAAATATCTGTTATGTACAGTACTGTTCTGTACTTAAAATACAAATAGTTACTTGCTTATTGTTTTTAGTCTACATACATATATGTATTTGATAGAAAATGCTAATTTTAAGAGCGAGGCACGTAATCATCCTGCTTTTTTTTAATTTTCGTTTTCTTTACAAATACATTAAGTCCGCAATCCTGGCAAAAGTATGCTCTATTATTTCGCTAGGAGAATCTACTTATACTATCAAGCTGGAAGATTGTTCGAATACTATTCTGCAGAACTACTGTTTCGAATAGAAGATTTATTTTTGTGTTAGATAGCCCACGTATCGATGAAGGGTATAAGCAAAATATCGAGTCAATGGAAGCTGAGCGGCGGGTGAAATGGCACGGAAGTAGCTAGTTTCCTAGGATAAATTGAGGGTTAGTGTTTTAATTACATACCTACAATTTATTTTTGAATAAAGTCAAGTAGGTAACCAATTTTGCGAAAGTATGAGGATAGTGGAGAGTATGAGGGTACGCTTCGGTATTTATCTCGACCAATTAACGTATCTTGCGTACCGTAAATGACGACTTAGGACCTTATTACTTTTGGATTGATAACAACTGGATAATCAAATTCAATACTTTTGTCGAATTGTCAAATTCGTCAATTGGGCAGTTACCTAACTAAAAATACATTATTTTGACTTTTCAATACAATTAATTTTTAATCACGATAAACGTATCTTTTATTTTTTTGCCTGTATTTATAGAATTAAGTATAGATGGCCGCGGGTGTAGCAAAAGGAACTGGTGAAGGAAGGAGAAGGTGGGTTTTTGGTCAGTGGGAATCTGACGCTCCCTCTCACCATGCCCTGGGCGAGAGAAGTCATTTGATTATTTCCCACCACAGAAAAAAGTAAAGATGCTATTTGCCATAGAGCTATATTTGCTGCTTATACAACATCCATAAAACATTATCATTTTGAAATTTCAAAATAAAAATAATTTGACTATGTAAAAAAATTACTTAAAATTTTCTATGAAATTTTTAAGGGATCAAGTTTGTCTTATCTATTTTTCAATATTAGCTAGAAAAATATAGGTAGATATTAAACATTGTGTTAACTCAATTAATAAAAAGTACAAATTTTCAAATATTTTATTGCATTGAAGTCTAAAATAGTATTTTAGATTCCTTTGTAAAATACTCAGCACCTAAACAAGTTTAAAATTACTCTTTTAAACATTGTTTTGTCATTATGGTAAAAACCTATCTGGAGTAAAATTCCTGTATGATTGTGTATACTTTTTTTTAATCAAGTAATCACCTTCAATGTGGGTGTGCATTTTATTAGTTATTCATGTAGGTCCTACATGAATAAAATTCAGTTTAATTACATAATACATATGGTTCAAATTCTGTAAACAATGATGTTTTATAATGACATGTACTTATCATTTATTTTGATATGTTGACATTATCTAAATCAGAGGGACTTGTTGCATTTCATATTAAGTAAATAACAAGGTATTTTATCAGTATTTGGCACATGCTGGCACATTTTTTGGAGCTAGATAACAGATTGTGATTTTGTACCCTGATAATATGAAACACATCATAATGTTGAAACATGAAAATTAATGCATTTAAGAATTACTTACAAATATTTCTGGGACATTTTTATATCACTGTTGATATAAAAATGTCCCAGAAATGTCATGGAAACACATGTCATATATAATGTTTTTTTTTTAAATATTTTTAAGCCCTATAATGTCTTTCAGGTACCTAAGTTTACTAACTACTTATGTAGTTACTGTGTAATGTGACTTATGTTTGAAACAGCATAAATTAAAGAATATATTTATGCATACATTGCTGAATAACTACCAAAGGTTTTTCTTTTCACTTGTCATAAATAATAACAGGCCTAAGAAACATTGACTCAATATCTATTTTTCTGTTCTGCTAATTACTCTCTTTCTTTAGTGTACTTATTAAATAAAAAGCATTACCAGCCTGTACACTGACATTCACAAATTTTTATTTTACTTTTAGTTCTTCTTTATTCGTGTACTACATTTGAGAGCTTAAAGCTTTTGAAAAATGGAAACAATTTATAATTAGAGTTTTTAGTTCCTCACTAAAATTATATTTTAAAAATAATGTTTAAACACAAAAGTATTTTTTTTCTGTTCAAATAATGGTGGGTCAAAACATGTGTGAGCAACCTCAATTTGCAAATGAGTCACTAAATGATTCAGAGGTCATGTGGTGGTCTCTTTGCCGAGGGGGAAACTAATTGTGACCAGCATTACAATTGGCTATCTAGGTACCTAAAATATGTGGATGTGGTAGGAATGTTTTGAAATCTGCCACAACCACAGTCAGGTACAAAAGATGCAAATCAATTTTCACAAGATAAATTATTTAAAAAATACTTTATGATGATTGAATTATTTGCACTTTGTACACTAGGTAGGTATATGTCTATGTCATATATCGTGACATCTGCACTAGTACAAATAGTTGATTTTTTTTTCATAAAATTGTAATAAACATTTGTATAGATATTAGATAAAAATTAAACTTTTAATTTGTATTGTAATTTAACATTCGGTGAATAGCCAATAGTTATTGTATTTCCTCCTCTTTAGGTATTTCATCATCTCATCAAGTTGATGTACTACCAAACTAGCATTGGTTTCTATTTCCAGGTTTTAAAGTTTTAAAGTATGTCAAGTCAAAGTCATTAAGTAAGTAGTTACAGATTTTTTTTAAACTGACAAAATCTGTGATGAAAACATGGTATATATGATAATAACATCACCTCAAATGCTGTTGTTAAAAAAGGCAGACTTGTGAACTTTACTTACAATTGATGTTTAGGTAGGAAAAAGATAAATTATTGGATGTTTAATGCAGTAGTTGTGATGAGTGGCTGGTTCAATTTCCTTACAAAATAACTCTTTGTGTAATTTCAATGTTGTTGCTAGACTGAGTATCATACACATATTTGTGAAAAAAGCACTTTCAATACAAGAAAAATTTTAAGAGTGGAACATAAAATATAATAAAATATAATTACTTTAAGTTATTTTGAATAAAAAAGACAATCTTTAACAGATTTAAAAGTCAAAAGAATTGTTTGATATTTATGTAATCAATCAGTAATACATACTGTTGAATGAAAAAGCAATGAAGTAATATAAATCCACCTTGGTCATTCATTAATTTTAATTGTGTGCAATAAAATAATAATTGACACTTTTTAAAATATCTAATGCAATAAAATTAATGCGGAGTATTTTTTTAAAATATTCTTAACAAAATTATTTTGTAAAATAAAATACCTAATGAATTATTATTTAAATTTAAGTAATATTTGTATTTTATATAATTCACAAAATAAATGCTGCAATTGTAACACCCAACTACCTATGTTATAACATCCAACAAATGTTATCTGATAAGCTTCACTTGCTACATTCCATGAATATTTGGATTATAAAAATATTTTAATATAGAGAAAATAGAGCCTTATAATTTCAACATCATGCATCTGAAAATATTTTCCTTTATGGTACACTACATTTAACTACCTATTTATTAAAATTTAAAAGTATTTACCTCTCTGAAGAGCACTTATCAAGGCAATAAACAGATCAGGTAAAAAATAGTATTTATTAGCCAGATACTTGGTTATTTTATCTTAAAAACCAATACAACTTCAGATATGTGTTTGGAAAATTTAAAAAAAATAAGAAAATTATTAACAAATGTCAAATAAAAAAAAAAAAAAATTAACAAATGTCAAATGAAATTATAACTTCATATTCTGAGTGCAATGACCTCAACAGATGTTATTGACCTAATTTTTATTTCCTTTATGATTTTTGTCAAATAAACAACAGCTTTATTTTGAAATGTCTTAAAGTGCAGGATAAACATGCGAAGTCGCCTATTTTCCACATATTTATTCATGTTGTACTATTGTAAATCACATCGTCCAACATAAAACGGAACAAACCAATGACTAATTTAATGAATTGACAGAAACGTTTTCCGTCTTGATTATCCTATTCGATTCTCTAATAATTTGAACGGAATTCATAATAAATCGTGATAAAATCAATTTTGTAAACAAGTTCCTAATGTCTTTCTTATAATCGTGTTTACACGATATACTGTAGTGTCATGGCATAGTTGAAACCCTCGTGACATTACCTTGGGTCTGGGAGAACAATCTTTTTACTAGCCCGAGCTGCAGGAGTGCATTTCGACTTCTCCATAGCCATCAAGTAGCTGACGTCTGCCAGCACAGCCTCGAGGTCCGCCATTTTGAGTCTGAATTTATCACCTTCACCAGACAAATAATAAATAACACTGGTTCGCAACACAAACACTAACTAAATCAAGTTGATTTTCAGCTGATAGTCATAGCTTTCCTCACATCGCGACTGTTCACCGTTTCACAGAATTTGTTGATGAGTGGTGACACATGCTGATCACTCACATTCGCAGAATATTTTTTTATTAACATAGGACCACGTAACTTATTTACAAATTATCATTAGAGATAAACGTTAAGTTTATAATTAATCGCAGTAGATTTTACACAGAATGAAGCTTTAACAAATAATGATTTACAATCGCAAGAAACGTAATCTAATCCAACACCCGTCACTCCGCGCGACTACACACACACCGGAACGATTTACTGATTACGCACACTGGTGGCGCTCATTGTAAACACGTACACAACTATACACTTTAACGCACACACTCAACAATTCTTCGTTCAGAAATATTTTTTTATTGCCAGAATCAAGTTATTTTCATACAAAATTTTCCGCCAGAATTAATGATTATTTCCCCAAGGTATCATTTTTGTCACTTAAATAAACAGTAAGTAAATAATTGACTTCGTTGGACTTATTGCACGACCTACTGTGAATCACAGTCTGTGATGAAGATCTTATTTACTTACCCGAAATATAATTCACCTGTAGTCTATGTTTTCTTTTTACCGCATCACTATTAATTACTAGCAATCGATGTACATATAGGTAAACCTAAAGGCTCGCAAGGACCGCTGGTTTTAGTCAATATGAGTCTGACCCTCTCTCGGCATACCTTAGAGAAGTCATTAGGCAATTTTTCCTCAAACAAAAAGGGTGATAGACTGATTTTCCCCCGTCAAAAGAGAGGGATCGTTAGTTTCTTACTATGCAGTTTAGACCTAGCCGATTTAAGAAGCTTTTGCATTGAGCTTCTAATGACTTTCTTCACAAAGTTATGCTACCATAACCATTACTGCTCTAATCTAGCTCAGGTTAAAATAGGCATTTACTGTTCTTTATTTCAAAATCAATTTTTTATATTACAGGACTGACCATTTTTAAATTTCCCGCTCCTCTCACTCATTCATTTTTTGCCAGAATTCTACTAGCGTATCAAATAATTAATTTTAAGCAAATTTTCTAAAAGTTATGTTTAAGTTAGCGGAATAGGTAGTAATTAAAATATAAAATCGATGGCTTTTACCAAATACCTTGAGCACCGTGTTACCGATACAAATGATGAAACAAAAAATGTCTATGGACGGAGTGAAGAGTAGCTGTCAAAATAAATAAATTTTTATTTCTCAATTTAATGATTAGGGCATTTTGATAAGACAATATGAGTTAGCCGGTAGTGTATTTTGAAGAAATAATAAGTTCAACCACATTGTAGACTTAACCGTAAAGTAGGTATTATTGTTTTTGATTTGAATATAATTATTTTGACATTGTTATTTTTGCGTTGTAATATTTGTTTCTACCTTTGTCGTAATATTGCATATATTTGCTCGATAATTAGTGAAACGAAATATTTTCACGTTTAAGTTTAATTACATTTTACCCGTAATACGTTTTACAAATCACAGTTGAATTTTATTAATATGGCAATAAGTATGTAAATATGTAATATTAAATTGTATTTGATCGTCACATACTAAAGAAACTATTTATTTTCAGACAACATGATGGAATATTGCCCTCCTAACGTAACCCTAGGGGAGATATGGGTGGACCATGGGATATCTCAATGTTTTATGGAGACTGCTTCTGCCATCATTATAGGTGGTTTTCTCTTAACATTAGGACTTATACAAATCATTATGTATAAAAGGTAAGTGTATTTCAATTTATTTACGTTAAATTTTAGTGATCACAAAGCCCACTCAAGCTGATATTAGTCAAATTCTCATAAGAATCTGATTGTTTATCCTTGGGGTTGAATATTATAAAATATTTGCAAATGTCTTTTTGGATTAACTCATATAAAAACGTTTAATTCTAATTGGAATAAAAAATGTCAGGTGTATGGAAATATTCTGTCCACATGTCTATGTACTTAGGTATCTTAATTTATAAGGAAATTATGCTAATGATGTACAGGTCCAGTCCAAGTAGGTTAAATCTTGTTTATTATGACTCATATTTTCTCCTTTTCTACAATGTGTGTATAGTGCCAACATAGTAATTTTTCTAAAAATAATTTCTACCTGATTCGATGCTTTGAACACTTTATTCACCAGTTTCTTTTCTTGTATTTAAGAAACACAGTGACAAAGAATTACTTTTCCATATGGTAGAAATTCCACTGCGGTTTTTTTGTTCTGCTTATTTATTTTTCCTACCCTCATATGCAATTTTTATATGGATGAAGTATGTACTTGCATTTTTCACAGTAAAAATTGCATATTTTATATGCTAATAATGTTTTTCTTATAGTCAACCAATGATAATATTGTGACGTAGCCTAATCTATGTGTTATCAGTCAGTCCAAACAATGCTTGGTTATTTTATCTATAATCAATTATTGTCAATTCAATATTTCAGATAACCATTTCATTTTGTTGATATTATATAATTATAATAATGAAACAGTACAGCAATTCATTAGATGTATAATTAATTAAATTTAAACAAATTAATTGAATGATAAAAGCTAATAAATCAATTTAACACAAAAAATATTTTCATGCAATTTAATAATAAATTTTATATGACATTGATATGGATTGAATTAAATACTGATTTCAGAATGCTAATTAAGTAGTTTTATGTTTTGGATTAATAAAAGTGTTCATACAAATATGAATAAAATAATGCTTTGTTGTTAAGGATCATAATGGGACACTATGGGGATGGCCTATAATGGGACACCATTTGTTATAAAAATGTGAACAAAATACCTCATTTTAAAGTTTTAGAGGCTATGTATATTATGTGTTCTCAATAAACATATATAAATTGCCCACACTTAACCATCTTGGGTTTTTTTGTTTGATGAGGAAAAACCTTAAAAATAATACCACTAAAACTCTTTAGCAGTATTTTGAATACTTGGAATTACATTTTGTGAGTATTTCCAAGTATAAAAATACCGCTATTTTTAGTAGTAGTAGTATTGTTAGTAGTTCTAGTTTATATTGATGAAGCAGTAAATGGAATGTTTTAATTTTAGGTATGCTATAGAAGTGGAGGACATAAGAAGTTCAAAACTTTTTGGTGTGCAGCTGTTCTTTACATTGTTTGTACCAGTGTTAGCTGTGATAAGGTTCCTGTTACAGGCCTTTGTATTTAAAGGGGGACAAATATATGGATATATGGTAAGCTATATTTATTAATGTTCAAACTTTGATGGTGTGATTTTTATGTGTGATTAGGTCAGTTAGCGTTATTGCGAGCAAGGGTAGCTCGCCACCCTATCAGAATCAGATCCGTCTTAACTAGCCAACAAACCACCACAGGTGGGCCCCAATAGGGTCTTATGTTTAGCTAAGGTTGCGGGTCAAGCTTAAAGCGAGAGAAGGCATGTAGTGGTTTTTAGTCAGTAAAATTTCTGACATTCCATCTCGTCTCACCCAGATCGAGAGGTCATTTGATGATAAAAACTATGCATTAAAATATGTATAAAGGAACATAAGGCCTTTCACATGCAGTGATGCGTTGCTGCGTAAAGCAGGATCTAGCTAGTTGCATCATGATATTTTTGCTTTGCGCGTACTGAGTTACTGACCCTCTTAAAACGCTGTAATATTATCCTTATTTCTAACTAAAAGACTGATAGTTACTAAAAATTTGGAAATGTTGAGGTTATTTTCCACTTAGGCACATTGCACCTAGGGTTCCCAGGTGACCAAGATTTCCGGAAATGTCACGGATTTTTGCGTGTTATCCCGTGTACATTAATTTTATTTTTTTTGCCTTGGAACATAAAGGTAAGACATTTATATCTACGTGTATTGCAATAATATATAACTGTTTATTCTTTTAACCAATCTTTTATTCGAGGATATTGACACTTGGATTAATCTTTTATGATTCGAAAATTACTTGATGACTTCTTCCTCTACTTTAGTTTAGTCACAAATTATTCCGTTCGTGGCCCCAGAAACGGCCACGAAATGATTAGCTGGGATCTGGCAACCCTAGTAGCACTAGAAGGCTAGTTGATTGCATAACATTGTGCAAAGTTGAATGTTCTATGATATCAAAATTACGTACACTATTATAGTATATCGTTGTAAAAGATCGAATGAACGTCAACCAATATTTACTATGACGCATCAGACAGGATTGCAGACAAGGTTTTTCAATAAAGATATGATATCCAAATTGGCTAAAATATAGGCTATAATAACATAATTAATTATCCTAAATTGTTTTAGCGGTAATGCTAGCTAGTATAGGTACAAATAGTAAGAAACGATCGAACGTTGTCGATAGTGTACCCACGTATTATAGATAGGTGATTAATTCATCATACCCCAAGCGAAGGCCGGAGTTTACGCACATTTTATGTCTGGAATTACCTCGATTACAAAGTAAAACCTACATATTCCTACCGTGGCATAAGAACCGACTAATGAAAACTTGACATAGACAGCAACGCTTCCTGAAAAACTTGAATATGTTTAATAGTGATCTCCAACCTGTTGCGATTATGGCAAACTATGTTGTGCAAAGAATGGGATAGTATCTACCTAGTCCAGACAGAATTAACATACGTGATTTTTGTAATAATAATAAAATACTTTGTTTCAGATCCTAGCTTTAGTGATAACTCTAGTGGTGTTTCCATTTTCGGCCTACTTAGCTATCTTGGAGAGACGGTTCCTGCTGCCGTCCGTCCCTCCGAGCGGACATGGATTCATACTCCTCGTTTTTTGGGCAATGATATTCGTGTCTGAAAACCTCTCGTTTCTGAATCTTAACAAAGAAGGATGGTGGTGGAACTTGAAAACGTGAGTATATTTTTACTCTGTGTTTTTTGTACATATTTCTTAGATTAGCTGTACCTCTTTTGCAAAACCTCGTTGGTACAATGTTTTAAGGGCTGTTGTACAAGGCCACAATAACCACAAATATGATCTTTTTTTAAATAAACACAATTACTTCCTTTTCATCTCAGTCTACAAGATCGCCTGGAAATGTCGCTGTTTGTAGGACGTTATGTGTCCTGTATGATAATGTTCGTGCTCGGGCTTAAGGCGCCCGGCATTGTTCAGTATCATTACCTTGGAGCTGAAGACGAAAATCGCAGGAATATACCACCGAGGGTGAGCAATTTAAATATCATTAGTTAATTTAAAGTTCGGCTATGGCTGCTGTGCCAATTTTTTACGATCCATCATAGAAAACCATAACATTTCATGATATATTCATGATTAGCATGTTTGTCATTGTAGCAAATCTTAGGGCATTTACTCT